AGTAGCTGGGATTACAGGCACGCGCCACCATGCCCAGCTAATTTTTTGTATTTTTAGTAGAGACGGGGTTTCACCATGTTGACCAGGATGGTCTCGATCTCTTGACCTCGTGATCCACCCGCCTCGGCCTCCCAAAGTGCTGGGATTACAGGCTTGAGCCACCGCGCCCGGCCCGACTTACTGCTGTTTTTAACTGCGCCCGGCTGTTAAAAATACATTTTAACATAACTACCAGCTGTGTTTTTTGGTATGACCACTAATCATCTGAGATTGGTGTGATTTTCTCACATATGAGGAATGTGAGGCTCAAAGTTAAAACCTTGTCCAAGGTAGTATTTCTCAAAAGAATCATCTGAAGTGGTTGTTAAAAATACAGATTCGTGCCTGGCGCGGTGGCGCGTGCCTGTAGTCCCAGCTGCTCGGGAGGCTGAGGTGGGAAGATCGTGAGCCCCGGAGTTCTGGGCTGTAGTGCGCTCTGCCGATCGGGTGTCCGCACAATATAAGTTCCGCGTCAATATGGTGACCTTCCGGGAGCAGAGGACCACCAGGTTGCCTAAGGAGGGGTGAACCGGCCCAGGTCAGAAACGAAGCAGGTCAAAACTCCCATGCCAATCAGTAGGGGGATCGGGCCTGTAAATACCCACTGCACTCCAACCTGCGCAAAATAGGGAGACCCCGTCTCTAATAAAACAAAACGACAAAATAGGCTGGGCGTGGTGGCTCACGCCTGTAATCCTGTAATCCCAACACTGTGGGAGGCCAAGGTGGGCGGATCACAAGGTCAGGAGCCTGGCCAATATGGTGAAACCCTGTGTCTACTAAAAGTGCAAAAAAATTAGCTGGGCATGGTGGCTAGCCTATTTTTTTTTTTTTAGATCGCTGCAACCTCTGCCTCCTGGGTTCAAGGGATTCTCCTGCCTCAGCGTCCCAGCCGAGTAGCTGGGACTATAGGCGCCCTCTACCACACCCAGCTAATTTATGTATGTGTGTGTGTGTGTGTGTGTGTATGTGTATATATAGATCTAGATATATATATTTTTGAGACAGAGTCTTGCACCAGGCGTGGTGGCTCACGCCTGTAATCCAAGCACATTGGAGGCCAAGGCAGGTGGATCACCAGAGTTTGGGAGTTCAAGACCAGCCTGACCAACATGGTGAAACCCCGTCTCTAAAAAAATAATAATAAATTTAAAAAATTTTTTAAAAAAAGAGAGAGACAGAGTCTTGCTCTGTTGCCCAGGTTGTAGCGCAGTGGTACAATCTTGGCTCACTGGGAGTAACTGGGTAGCTGGGATTTCTTTGAAATCTCATGTGTGTCTTGCACTTAGAGGCACATTTGAATTTGGACTAGCCACATTTCACATGCTCAGTTGCTACATGTGGCTAATGGCTACCATATAGGACAGCATAGACCTACTGCACAGCTTAACTGAGAGATCTTAGCAACAAATACTCATCTTACATCACATGTGTCTCAAGAATATTATTATTATTATTATTTTAAGATGGAGTCTCTATTGCCCAAGCTGGAGTGCAGTGGCGTGCTCAGCTCACTGCAACCTCTGCCTCCCAGGTTCAAACAATTCTTCTGCCTCAGCCTCCCAAGTCGCTGGGATTACAGGCATGTGACACCACGCCCAGCTAATTTATTGTATTTTTAGTAGAGATGGGGTTTCACCCTGTTAGCTAGGATGGTCTGGATCTCCTGACCTTGTGATCACCCTGCCTCAGCTTCCCAAAGTGCTAGGATTACAGACGTGAGCCACCGCATCCAGCCAAAAAATACATATTCTTAATCTAGGTACGGTAGAATGTCCCTGTAGTTCCAGCTAATAAAGAGGCTAAGGTGGGAAGATTACTTGATCCCTGGAGTCCCAGGCTGCAGTGAGCTATGATCATGCCTCTGCATTCCGGCCTGGAAAACATAGCAAGACCACGTATTTTTTTAGAGATGGGGTTTCACCATGTTGGCCAGGATGGTGTCCATCTCCTGACCTCGTGTTCCACCTACCTCGGCCTCCCAAAGCGCTGAGATTATAGGCATGAGCTACTTTGGCTTTTTTTTTTTTTTTT